CCAGCTCTCTGGCCTGACCCCACTCCTCCCCTCCCCTCTCTTCTAGAAAGTAAGAGAGATTCTGATGAGCAGGGTCAGGAGGAAGATGACACATATAAAATGGCAGTCTCTGCCAGGCTGTGCTTGCACAAACAACCCCCTGGTGCTTCTGAGGGGGAAAAATGTGGGAAGAGAGAAAGCAGAAGCTATAAGCAGCCTGGCTATTTTCAGGTCCCGTTCCAGACAAAACTGGTACTAAATTATTTACCAACCAATTGTGTGAAGGAATCAAATCCAGTGGCATCCACATGCGGCACTCATAACCTACTAACTGCATTAATGCAGCTGAGGATTAAGGGAGATTTGAATCAAAGTAATGGGAAAGAAATCATGTGCTGAAGTATTTAGATGTAGTCGCTTTTCATGCTGCCTTGATGCCTAGGGACTCATCTTCCCCCTTTTCTGGCAAGTGGCTGCAGCCAGCTACTAACCATCGGTGCTGACAGCTTCCAGCTCAGCCAAGCTTCCATTTTGGAGATCGAATTTGCAGAGATGCAGCTGGGTCCGGGAGAAAAAAAAAAAAAACAAAACACAACAAGAAAACAGACAAAGAGAAAGGAAACTAAAATAAACCCCCAGTGCTTTGGGGACTATCTGAATTAGTAGCAGGGGGCTGGCAATGGGAAGGGGAAGTCTGTTAAGGGTCTCCCAACTTTTCCCAGATGATTCTGCTAACCAGCCGACATCTTTTGCTGGATTAGTGCCTGATGGGATGGGGAAAGGAGTCTGAATAGCAATAAGGCAGAGAGCTGGAGCAGTTAGTCTGTGAATGAACAGCCAACTGCTGTGGTTGTGGAGACAGACAATCTCCCCCTTGAATGGAGGAGGAGGAGGAGGAGGGAGAGGATCTTATGATTTGGGGAAGAATAGAGGGAATTATTGACTGTCTCTAAGATGCCCTTCTGCCTTTCACTAGTACTAAAGAGCTGCTAAACCAAAGCAGGCTTACAGAGCTGCAAATTTAGTAGCCTACCTCCAATACTGATAGGCTATACCAGTGTTGCATGGTGAAGGAGAGATCCAAGCATGGATCTCCCATATCTTTGCTTTCTGCTGCAGAACTCACCCGTGCTGAGGAAGAGCTGGATCAGTGAGAACCTGGGCTGGAGCAAGTGCAGCACAACAGCAGCCACAGAGGTGAGGATTTAGGCCAGTACTGAGTTACCTGGTAAATATCCCAGCATGCCATCTTTCTTTTTTTTTTTTTTTTTTTTTTTGGGGGCCAGGAGGAGGGCCAAACTTCGCACTCAGGCAAGGCTTAATGCAGAACTCAATCAAAAGGATCCCAAAAGGGGTGTCAGAGGAGCCTGGCTTTGAGAGTGTACTGTTCACTTCATGGAGATTAATCTCTACAGCCTTCAAAGAAGTCACAAGAAGCAGACATCTCTGATTTTCCTATGACTATATTTCAGCTCTCCCCACTACAATGAAGGAGTAGACCTCAATTGTTGAAATACCAAATCAGAAGACTTAGAGCTGAAAACAGCTTTCATTAGGTCCTCTCATCTATGGTTTTGCCATTTCAGAATTGCTGTCTTTCAAGGGCTTTTGTCCAAGTTAGTTGTAAACAACTCAGGCCATACAAAGACTGAGAACAAAAGCAATGAGTTTTTCGTTTCAATTCCCTGATAGTTGGAAAAGTATCTTCCTTCATTTGAGTGCATCTTTAGTAGTCTGCCTCCTATTTTCAATTCTTGTATTTTCTCACCTTCCCTGCAGAAAACCAAATAATCAGGCAAACAGGAAAATCCCAACCTTTGCCATTATCCTTTGTTTCAATATGTATTACTGGCTCCGCTTGTTAATTATACTGTCATGCCTTCTTTCTTTTTTTTTTTTTTTTTTTTTTGGTGGGCAAGGAGAAGTCCAGACTTCGGAATCAGGCAACGTCTTAATGCAGACTCAATGCAGAGGATCCACAAATGGGTGTCAGAGGAGCCTGGCTTTGAGAGTGGGCTTCATCCCATGGACCACCACCCAGACACTGTGTGGAGTGATGTTTGATGACAGTGGTGGCAGTAAGGAGGGTTATCTCTGCAGAGCCCCTAAACCAAGGACACAATCTGGTCCTGCATAGTTAAATTCTGGAAGTCATCATGCACTCAGCTCACACACGGCCCTTGTGTTACAGACAGGGAAACATTGGCAAAGACATCGAGGTGTCACCTCTTCTGGGAAAGTTACACTGGGATCTTTTTAAGCTCTTTTTGGACAGCAGCCACTAGAGATGGGCAGGACAAGGGAGCTCTGGTGAACTGCTTATCTGAAGGACACCAGTCCTGAGCATGCAGACCTGCACTCCGGGGCAGCCCAGGGTTGAGAGATGGGAACAAACTCTCACTGAGCCATGTTAACTGCAGCCTTTGTAAATCTGAGCCTGCAATCTTTATTCACTCCCAATACCCTATGTAATGTGAGTTTTTTGCACAGCAATCAATGACACAGTTGCCAAGGGTAGCGTTTACTCTTGCCAGTAAAAGGTGGCAGGATCAGACCTTAATGGTGGGAGAGGAAGAAGCCAAGAAATGCATGCTGGAGTTGGAAGCTACAAAATTAGCAAATAGTCCGGACTTCCCCCAAATCCAATAGTAAATGAAATCCAATGAGACTTCTCATTAATTTAATCTTGCAAATGTTTCTTTGCTTCTTTCTTGTGACAACTCTACAAGACAGATCTATCTCTTATATTTTGCATAGATCAGGAAACTGAGACATGGACAGGAAGGAGAGGGATATGACTTGCTCTGCATAGCCTGGATTCAGACTGGCATCTTAACCTCAACCTTGTCTCGGGAAGATGCCAGATGAACTGACTGAAGTCTCAAGAGTTGGTCAGTGTCAGCTGAAAACAGGACTGCCTATGGGATGAGATAGACACATTGTAGTAGCTGGGTGTAGGCAGAGCTGGGAGAGCTGTATACGTGTACCTTTACCTAACTATATGCAACACCAGCTATAACAACAGATCTTCCAAACCACCCAACACCCCTCAGAAAATCCTGTTTGAAAACTGTAGTCCATTCCTGTCTGTGTGAATGATTAATGCCATGGCCTTGCACATACAGACAAGGGCTCATCAATTTCTTTAAATGGTGATGGCTCTCGAATGCTTCACCTAATTTCAATGAATTTGCAAACCCCATTTCGTTTTACTCGAGCCTGTCCCCCAAGGGCTTACGTTGTGCAGTTTCTCCGAAAATGTGTGCTGTTTTAGATCTGTGCTTTGTAATCGGTTAACTACCTACTTAGCAGCGCTTGTCATTTGGGATTTTGTTTTTTTTAATAGTCTTAAATCTTATCAAAACATGAGTCCTAAATAAAATTCTTCTTGCTAACTACCAGTCATGGAGTCATTATTGGAAAGGGCAGCTGGTGGATAGCAAAGCTGAGCTCAATGCTGCTATTTGGAACAAACAGCTTTGTACTTAATAATGAAAAAGTCACTGAGTGTTTAAACTCTGTTTTCCTACATCTCTTAGCATGAAGCCTGGTAAGAGTTTGGCTTTTCTCTAGAGTGCAACAGCTGATTCAAAACCAAACTGACCTTCTTTGGTTAATAGTAATAACAATGAAAAAAAAAACAAAACTTTAATGGGCATCCCCTTAACAAAAGGAAGCACTTAATTTCATGCAGGAGCTATTACATTCCTTTAAGCCAACAACTTCTGAAGCAGGCTATAAATGAAAAAAACGAAAACATTAAAGCAGAACAGACTTGTCATATATTTTAACTTTTAATCATCCTATTAAGCTGATTAAATAAACAAAGAAAGTGGAGATTTATTTGACTGAGGGGAGAAGTTAACAGGGAATCTTTGAATGCATTTAAGGATTGGGTGTGGTGCCAAACCAGAAGTCAGGTAGAGAAGGAGATACAGCTCTAAGATACCTGTAGCTCATTATTGTGAACAGACACCAAATTTGCAAAAGAAACAAGGTTTAAGTCACAGTGTAAATGAACCATCTGCCTCCTATCCTAGCATGATACCACCCTAACAGAGACTGACCCTGGAAAGAAACCCTGGATACAAACCCAACAAAAAAGGTTCAGATCTGAGTTCTTATTTCAATCTTTTTGCTATTTCTGGCCCAAGTCTAACCATCCTAAACACTGGCACAACTTGGAACAAGATCCTGGAACAACCTTTACTCTTCATATTATTAAATCTTCATCTGCTGTCAGATATCACTCTTTAATTTTGTTTTTACCCCTTGCACTTGAGAGTTACAGTTTGAGTAACAAAGGCTGTACAAAACACGGATGAATCATACAGGCAGGTTAGGGTGAACAACTCTTGTATTAGTCACAAAAGCCTGAAGAACGAGGTGAATTATGTGCATGCCAGTCGTTGGGAGAAGATTCATTAGACCACTGGGCCTTGAGCTTGGTTAAAATCACACCTTTTTAAATCACCCTAGAGAGGTTTTCTTGTACAGGGGATAACTCACTAGAGAGAGACTGAGAGAGCTGGGGTCTAGGCAGGCTCTGACACGGACAGCAATATGACCTTGGAAAAGTAATTTTCACCTCTGTGCCTTTGTTTCCCCTCTTATCTTCTCTGTATGGCCTGGCAAAATCTGCAGGTCAAGAACTACCACATCTTATTAGCTGTAAATACGTCACTCAGGACCCTCAAAGCACTCACAGAGGGCACTCGGAGTTGCTACTAGAAGGCGAATGACGATGCTGAGCTTACACATGCACATACAGGCAGAGAAACCACAGTACCAAGGCATGCTTCCCATGGGAAAGTATTTCAGAATGACAATGCAGTGAGGGAATTACACTGGTCTTCCTCACGAACACCAGGATTTACTTCATCAAGCAAAAGCCAAAACCAACTGGAGAGAGGGAGAAAGAGGAACTTAGAAGATTTGAGCCCTTACCTGCCATATGAAAATCGAGGTTAGCCCTGTAGATGCAGAAATTTTACACAACTTTCAAGGAGCAACAAATACACAGGCAAGATGCTGCGTGTACCAGCAAGCAAGATGCGAGGAGCTTATTAAGCGTTAAGTCTAAACAAATACAAAAATGAAATTAAAAAGAAAAAAGATCTGAGATCAATACTCTCTCAAATACCTGTCTTATCAAGCCTGGCATGTTGATTGCAGCTCAAACAAAATGACCTGCTGTGAATGATTCCCAATCCTTTTCTCCTTCATTTTTATTTTTTCATTCCTGCACTCAGATAATCTTTTATTGATATGATACACGCTTGTAAGAACAATGCTGCAGAGATTGTGGGCTTGCATCATTTCACAGGCAATGTCATGTTCAGGACAGCATCCTGTCTACCAAAAGTACAGAGGGACACAGGCAGGATTTTCAAAGGAGTCAAACCCCAAACAAAATAGATTTAAGTAAGAGTTGGAAAGCCCAGGAAGGCAATTAAATTCACTGTGCAAAGGCTGTCTGGAAGCAGGTAAGAAAGGAGTTTTTGTGCTCAGTAGTGTTAATTTACATCAGTGGACGATCTGGCTCTTTGTTTATTACTTCCATTTCAACAAAGGTAAAACTGAGGCCCAGAGATACTAAATTCAGTAGGAAAAAAACCACCATAGCCATCTTGTTGTAACTGAAGGGAATTAGTGAGCATAATTAACCACTGAGAGTAATTAACCATTGAGACTAGGGATGTGGCAACCTCTCCATTGCTTTGAGACTTTTCAAGGCAATTAGATATCTCTGGCTGAGCCAGAGGCTGTGGGACAAATGCAAGAGTCACTAACTGAAAGTCTGCACTGTGCGTGAGACCAGGCAGAAATGTCAAAGGCTGCTCCTGGCCTTCAAACTTCCACTGAAGAAGTGCAAAGTTGGAAGTGCTGTCATCACTTGTACCAGCCCTTTGCTTTATATTCCCAATACGAGAGTCCAGAGATTATCCATATAATTGCAGCTCCATCTCTTCTCTGACTAAGGAGTTGCAGCTTCTACATAAATCTGGAATTTCTGAGTTTTCCATCCAAAATTTCTCTCTTAAAATAGAAAACAAACCAAATAACTCCTCTCTGTTTGCTTCACATTTGACTCTCCATCTCAAAGGAATTCACAAAGGAATGTCAAAGAAACGTATTTAAATGGCATTGTTTGGACACGGTAACCAATCTGATTAAAATTAAACGATTGCATGAACACTTTACATGTATCCAACAACTCACGGGCCATTACACCCTCTAATTGTATGAGTTTGGTGTGCTGGATGTTACGAGGCAACATCACTGAAAACTCGTGGAGCTGAACAAGGCAGAACTTAAGGTCTGAAATACTTCAGATCGACAGGTTGTTTTGTTTTGATTCAAAATCATGCATACCAGTCAGGTTCAGGGAAAGCCTGCTCCTCCTTTGGTCACATGGATGAAGGGATATTCAGGCAGAGATGGCTTTTATGCCCTTGGAGCAGCAGTCTGCAGTCATTAGTACTGTTTGATTCCCGTTAATGTCTTCCATATCTGCTGCTTGTAAAGGGTCAGAACAAATCTCTCCACTGGCTCTCTCCTCTGTCCCATCTTTGGACCCCATGTGCCAAATCCTCATCATCTTGTCAGTCCCTCACGTAGCCTCTTTTCCCCTCCAACTATCATCCCTTCCTCCTTTTGAACTTCACTATCAACCCGCTTTCCCTGAGCTTGAAACTTTCCTTTAACTCCTCATCTCTGTCCATGTTTTTCTGCAGTCCTCAAAATCTCCCTCAATCTTTTCATATGAGGCATTTTTCCTCTTATCTGCAGCGGCTCAAGGTTTGCTCCAGAGCCCATACTTGTTGTCAGTTTTTTTTACAAGAGGTTCTGAACCAGCACATGCATTTGATAGCACCCACTCTATAAGCACCTCAGCTCATTTAGCAGCACATTATTTGCCAAATGGGATGTGTGGGCTCCCACACATTATTTACTGTCCCTTAGGGAAGCACCTTGGGCTTGCAGGTCTAACATCTCATTCATAGTTTACTCAAAGCACGCTGCAAAGGGACAATGGATAAACCAGTTGTCCTTTGTGAGAGGGCTGCTGGTCCAAGGGAACAGATTTCCCTTTCCAGTTCTTTCCCATCTTTTTTAATCTTTCTATCCTTTTCCTCTTCAGGTGACAAAAGGATGTGAGAAAGTCCACAAAGGTACCAGAGAAGCTTGGAAACTTCCCAGGGAAAGGACCTCTAAGAAGAGGCTGATAAGGATGGTGGATGTAGTCTAGGAAACCACCCAAAGTAAGGGCTAAATTTGACCAAGACACAGAGGGAGCAGCCCCAGAAAAGATACCAAGTAATTTCTGTAGCATCAGTGCATGTTTTTTGTAAGAAAGGCAAATGCAGAGAGCTTGGGATCACACTTGAACCTATTGTAGGGAGTTATAAATGTCCCTGTCACTGAACAGAGTTAAAATGGGATTACCAGTTTACATTACCATCGTTGCCCAGTGGACTGGATAAGCTACCCAGGAGCAGGCCAACTTCAAACGAATGTGACAGGGCCCAGAAACACCACCCAGTTCTCAAGTGCATGCAGAAAAGGTAAGACATGAACACCAGACTTTGAATCACTGCAGACCAAGATCATATCATCCTGCAGCTGTCATCCTTCCAAATATAGAAGGGGATTCACTGACAACCTCAACTTCTTATCTTTGCTGCTGACCTTTACTGAGTTACACAATTGGTTTCCTGCACTGAAGAGGACTCAGACTCACAGTTTACTATGCACTGTCTGTCTCCACTTTTATGGTTTGCACTTTTACTTTATTATCTTTAATTTTCTTCTTCCAACTCTTGAGCGGGTATTAGAAAGTCAATACAAAACCTATTCCAGCCTTTTATTCTAAAATAACAGCACTAAGCTTGTTTATTTACACTGAGACAAGATGATATTTGTGACAGCCTTGTCAATAGTTCAATGGCATGACGCTAACTTTTTTTCTTTAAACTCAAATGCACTTTATTTGTGTGTGTTTGTCTGTCTCTCCAGATCAACTCTTGTTTTCCAGAATCAATATCAATATTCTCCAAAGAGTTGAAAAACTGCTTAGACAACAGCTAGTGAGCAAGGCATGTAGCCTTTGAATGTCTCACCCTAGGGTAGAGGTGTGATGATTCCCATGAATGAAGGGTCAGCTACTCACGCATTGAATTGACGGTTCTCAGCTTGCTTAGTTGAACTGGACCATTTGGCAGAATTTGCTTTTACCAGCTAACAGGGATTATTTGTGAAATCATAAAATTTTCCTGTGAAGGAGCCCCAGTGTCCCCTTCCCTCTGCAAATTTAGACTCTTTTTGGCTCCTACCACAACTTTCTGGTCACCGTGTTGGTGTTGACTGATACCTCTGTTCCTGGGAGCAGCTGAGAAAGCAAGGAAGAGCTGGCAATATCGCTCAGTGCTTGCTTTGGGAAGAGGTGAATAATTCATCCCTTCCTTGACAGACCAACAACACAGCAACATAAGAAGAAAACCTTGGTCAGTTCTGATAGTGTTATTTTTCAGTCCTACTACAGTAGAACATCTTAGGCCAGGTTCTATGCCTTTCTGTGCCCCAGTTTCCCACTTGTGAAACAGGATAGATGTAAAACAGCGCATTGCTCGGTTATAGATGTTAGTTGATAAAACCATATATATTTTCAAATTCTATGTTTCAGAATGAAAGATATGATTTTCAGAGGAGTTGCACAACCACTTTTCCCATGAAATCAAAGGGAAGCATCTTCTAGCAATGGCAAACCCCCAATGAATTAATAGCTTATGTAATAACTTCCCTAAAAAATTAGTATTGGGGTTGGAGCCCTCAGCACCAGAGCACCGCTTCAGCCAGGAGAGTTACCCACTGCACTGCAGCAGTAGATGTTTCTCTGATGTGGAACTGCCAGCAGTGGAGGCTTTTGATGCTCTTTTTTTGGGTTGCTTTAATGTGTTTAGCTTGTCTAGGAATCACTGAAGAGAGAGGCAATCCCTCAGGAAAGACTGTTTTTCTCCTGAGAGGTTTAATGTGGCTGAGATGCAAAGCATCTATCTATCTCCAAACACCAGTAAAGCACATCCTCCTGGTTAGGTTAAGGGGGCTATCCCCTCCTCCACTCCTGTCAGGGAAGCTGGAGGGACCTGCAAGCCCACTCAGCCTGGGGCTGTTTCTAACAACACTCTGGGAAGGAAAAGTGGGCAGGCCAGCCAGTTGAGAGGGGAGTTCATTCAGATCAAAAGGTTTGACTGAGATCAAAAGCCAGAAGTGAGGTTGGTCATCTGAACTATGTGAAACCCTCAAGCCTGAGGAACGGGTGTCTGAATTGAGGATGCCCTGTCAACGCCCCTCTTCTTGGCTTATATAAAGAAAGTCCCCAGCATATTTTGTCTCAGAGCCCCAGGCAACTGTGATGAATAGTGGGACACTTTCTTATGCTCTCCTTATCCTTTCCTAGATATAGGTTATCTACCCCTTGCAAATCCAAAACAGGTAGGTTCTTTGCTTTTGATTCAGATCCAATTACTCTTTGAGTCACCAGCTATGGCTCTGCATTTTGTTGCCACTTTGTGTGGAAGGACCATCATCCAAGCGTACATCTACCTAACTAGATGTCAGACAGATAGAAGTGCTGACTTCCCCAAATACACAAAACTGAGAGCTCTGCCAGCAATGTTTTACCCGATGTGGTTGCTACCACCTGGTCTTTCAGATCCCTCTCACCACCTTTGAGATAAAATACAAAAGTGAGCTTTTGTCACTTTATGGTGGGGATCTTTCCCACTGGAAATATGTTAGCTGCAATTCTGCAATCACATTCTTCCAAGGCCTGGGGTGGACACATGCATTGATGATAAGGGAGGTATAAACCAATCTAGCCATTTCTTGTTGTAAGATCAGTCTTAAGACTCATCACAAAGTCCCAGTGAGGTAGGCAAGGTTATAGGCCTCCCAGTGAGTCTGCTGCATCTGAAGTAGTTTGTGCTTGTGCTGCACCAACTTAGTTTGCCTGTCTCCAGTGAACTGTT